GATGTGTGTATTCCTAAGTCAATACCTTCGACTAACTTTTCAAAACCACCCTGGCTTACTGCCAGATTATCACTTCTAAAAAATGTAAGATCTATTTCTTTTAAAAAGTTTAAAAAGTCTAGTTCGTGTACAGACTTGGCTAAATATTCCTTAGCAAAGTCGAACTTCTTCTGAATTCTCAATTCTATGAGAATTGTCTTACTCGTTGTAAAAGGCAATTTGCCCAAAATCCGAGACAGTTTTATAATTTTGTAAACTTGAAACGTAAATCTTTAAGTTTTCCGTCTTCTTTCTCTGAGATGGATAAAGCTTGCAATGACACTGATTCTGCAAACCTCTTTGCTAATTTTTTCCAATCAACTTACTCTTCAGTCTGTCCTGATACTAATTCTTACACTTATACTATTTCATCCGCTATTTCTATACCTACTCCCATTATTTCACACTCCTCTCTCCTATTAGCTAAAAACTCTTTAAAATCTTCTTACTCTCCTGGGCCGGACAATATTCCTAGTTGTCTACTCAAGGAGTGTAGTTCTTCCCTTCTTTAACCTATAATAAAGCTTTTTAATATATTCCTTGAAACTGCTGTCTCTCCATCTCTTTGGAATCTTATCTTATAGCATTCCTCTTCACAAGGGAGGTGGGAAGTCTGATATACAAAATTACAGGGGCATTGCAAAAGTGTCCGCTATTCCTAAATTATTTGAAAAAATAATCACTTCGAATTTGCAGCATTTCTGCAAATCAGTTGTTTCCCCTGTTCAACATGGATTCGTAAAGAATTCATTTACACTGACTTCAGTAAGGCGTTTGACTCTGTGCACCATGACATTTTACTTTTTAAACTTGACCGAATAGGTTTTCCTGCGTCTCTCTTGCATTGGATTAATTCTTATTTAAGAGGTAAGACCCAAAGAGTAATGCTGAGGCTGACTACTTCTAAACACGTTACTTCTGGTGTTCCTCAAGGTAGTCATCTTGGACCTTTACTCTTTACTCTTTTCATAAATGATCTCCCCTCTGTTATATCACATGCCCGTGTACTCATGTATGTGGACGATATCAAACTTTTTCTATCATACACTGATCCCCTACAACATTCTCGTCTACAACACGATTTGAAAGCTATGCAAGGCCGAACACCAAGGCCATCTAAATTGTTCAAAGTGTATGTTTATGACATTTCATCGTACTACACCTTGTCAGTTTTACAATCGACAATATCCCTTTGCAACGTATACTAACAGTTAAGGATCTAGGCGTTATTTTTGATTCTAAACTCTGTTTCAATCTTCAGATAGATACCATCGTTAATGAGGCAAAAGGTGTACTTGGATTCATTAAACGATGGTCTAAAGAGTTTTTATAACAAAACTTATGTACATCTCTCTTGTTCGTCCTATCGTTGAATATTGCTCTTGGATCTGGTCTCCACAGTATAACAATAGCCATGATCGTATTGAATCTGTTCAGAAGCAATTTCTGCTTTTTGCCTTACGAGGTTTTTTTTTGGGACCCCAATCTTCGGTTGCCATCCTACTCCAGCAGGCTGCTTCTTCTCAACCTTCCGTCGTTAACCAACCGTAGGACAATTCTCGGTGTTGTCCTTCTACATAAGTTGATTATTGGCGACATAGATTCTCCTTTTCTGCTAGGGCGTCTTCAATTCTCTGTTCCGGCTGGACCAACCAGAAATTATCGCCCCTTATTCCTATCTACGTGTATAACAGACTACGCTATGTACAATCCTTTTCGCATGCTATGTAAAAATTATAATAGTTAGCATCACGTTTTCTCTACCGAACTTTCTCTACCCCTTATGAAATCGTTGCTTTCAAGATACCTTCGGGAAATCCCTGACCATTTGCAGCTATGAGCTAGGGCATAGCTACCGGGTCGGTGATTTCCCATTACTTCTCTCTTTGTACTATCTACTTAACACTCTTTATCTAACTTACATTGCTTTACTTTATTAACAATCTTCTTACCTTCTTTTTTCCTATTTATTGTAGTAGTGGCAAATAAAACACCTCCATCGGTCGGCGATGCTATTTAGAAAATTATATTCTTTAACTAGGCTTTTAGCATATTATTCTATTATCTACTGTGTAATCTATTGAATAATGAGGAAGACACTCGTTTTGTCGACCATTAATAAATACTTAAATAGTTCTTATGCATGTATAATTCACGCATACAACCAAAGGTGCACGCTCGCTATTGGCTGAGACAAGAACTTTTCTCGAGCATACACTGTCCTAAAAGAAAAGTGAAATCAATCTATGTGTGCTATTTTCTTAACATAGTTATTGCGCAAGAAGGGCCTTGTGTAAAAATTATAAAAGCTCTTTAATTTTCCTGTAAAGTTATTTGTTAATATCTAGGGTAATATATCATTTAAATAAAGCATGCATTTGACGGATAAACCATAAGCACTTTGCGTCGATCGTAAGCTCTAAACTTTTTCGCTCAATGTACTTCGAAAACGAAGCGACGCAAAGCACCATCGACCAGCTTTGCTGAGGGCAGGCTGGCGACTAACTTCGTAGCTCGTGTCCGGCTCAGCAAGCCGCGACTTCGGCATTCGTTCGTCTGGTCTTTGGAGAACGAACAACCAGTCGGCAGGCATGCTGTACGAAGCCTCAAAGGCCAGATGAAAGGCCAGGCTAGAAATTTTGCGTCGCATTCAAATGTATGGGCGTTACTCATCTTAGTGTTTATATTGTCTTTGGTCTAGCTTCGTCCCAAAAATGTTTCGAATTCAAATTCCTTGATTATGCAGGCGAAAAATTGTATTTGCAACAACAATGTGCATATTCAAGGTCGATATTGGTGTAATTTCCTTGTTATTTTGATTATTGTTCGTTTTCTTTTCTCTTCTGTCTAGCACGAGGCAACTTTAAAACGGTTAATTTCATTTGTGAAGTGCAAAGTGTTGCATGTGCAAATTTAGTAGAGCAACCATTTTTAATAAATACATAAATATTTTTATATTTAAATGTATTTAAAATATTATTGACATATTTATGAAAAAAGAGTGAAACTTGCTCATTTGTTGTCCTAAGGAACACCCATTGGTTTGACATTCTTGCCGCTTTTTACCCTGCACTGATATACACTTGTGTACTCTTTAAATTACTTTAAATAAGGGCAATTTATAATAATTACACAGAAAGGAAACGGTAAAAAGGGTTTAAGAACGCTTAGGCAAACTTCGGGTTAAAACACTTCACTTTTTTACCGCACATATTGGTATGTGCTATTTAAAAAATACGAAAACAAGTCAAATAAAATATATTCTCATATCATTTCATTTCAGAGTCTATTCCAAAGGGAGCTGGTGCTGGGTCTCAAGGCACCAGGTCAGAAAAACTTTGGAGCTTATAAAAAAATAACTATAAAAAATGTTAAATAATTTAATAAAAAAAATTTAAAAATAATTAAATAAGTTAATGGAAGGGGACAAACTTTTAAATAAATGTATATTTTGATGATTGTATAATTGTTTAGTTTGTGTATTCTCAAAAAGTCAATGCATTAAAATTGTGGCTGAAATTGCTCGGCAATATACATTTTTGTAAGGCTTGAAGCAACAAAAAATGTTCCTTTTTAAATGTTCCTTTTAATAAGTGAGTTAGATATTTAAAAGATCATAAAAAAAAATATTTCAATAAAATAATAAGTTGGCTATTCTCAAATTTCGAATTTTTAGCTGACAACACCACAATTGCCAATACTTTTGTCCGTGACTGTAGGTTGGGTTATTAACTTGATTTGTAGCTCTGCGATGGGCGCGCTAGGAATAAGATAAAAGATGCTTGACTTATATATTATATTCTAGAAGCAACATATCAAGTTTGTTGACCTTTGCTGTTAATATTTTCCAAATTGCTAAAAATAAAAAAATAACAGGATGTCGGTATCGATTTTAAATGATTGCTTGGATACGCAGTAAGTTATCAAGTATCGGAAACAAATTCGATCTGCGCAGGCACTAGGAGGACCTACATCTAATTTCAAAAATTTCAAGTCTCTATCTCTTAAAGGCTCCTTGCGTTCCATACGGACGGACGGACAAACGGACGGAAGAACAGACGGACATGGCTAGGTCGACTCGACTATTGATGCTGATCAAGAATATACATATATACTTTATGGGGTCGGAGATGCTTCCTTCTGCCTAACATACATTTGGATTTTGCACAAATACAATTTTAAATGGGTTCAGGGTATAAAAATTGTTCTTTGCCAAACTCTCTCTTCTTTCCATTTCAGATTGTCTCCTTCCATCCAACAAATATTCAGATCCTTAAAGAATGTTGTACGTCTCATTTTACTTTCTTTCAATAAAAGATGAACCTAAAATATTTTAGTGTATTTTTTCTTAGTGTATTTTTGCTTAAAAGTTTTGTTGCATTTTATGTTACTTTCTTTCAAATTGAAACATATTACAGTGAAATTTTTCGACATAGAACGCATTATTTTATTTTACATTGATTTATATGGGAATAATGGTTTTGCTTAACAAACTTTTTGCAGAAGGAACAATAAGCCATACGAACAATACGCTGGAGCCAATTGTGTACGCTAACCACTGTATATAATCACTAACCAAACAACATATAGACTGTACATCACATAGGAGAAACGTTGAAACGTATCGGTGGCATCTGGTCCAAAATTGCGAGTAAGGGAGTAAGATATACATATGGTGTATTTGTTTACCGTTTACACTACAGGAAAGTGCTTGGCGCACTCTCTTCCATATGATTTGTGCGATAGAACGGCAACGCTGTTAACTTTTATCTCGCTCGCAATTACTCTCAGCTCTCAATGCTCTCTCTATGTTTAGGGATCGTTTCAATGTGTGCAAAACTGCGCACAAATTCAATTTTTCTCAAATGCTGAGGCATTTCTACCCTTTTGCAGGCACGGCTAATATGAAATAGAGAAAGGGTTTGCCAAGTCGATGCGAAATTCTTGCATTTTAGCTCTTTATCGTTGTTAAGGGTACCTAAGCGTTGCCATGTGCGCACTTAAAATATTTTGGACTCGCTCACGCATACTTGCATATTTTGTATATGAATAATAGACTCGAATTGAATTGAATTGAGTAGGTGCAAGGCTCACAATGAAGCAAATGAGTACCAATGTGAGTGCGTGTTGTGTTTCATATCAGACGCCATTCAGCAAAATAAGTGAAAATCATGAGTAACGAGACTGTATGTTTTTTGCAAGTAATTCCAACGCATTCCCACTCATTCAATACGTGTTAATTCGTTTCAATGTTCTGCGTCCTGCGTTCAGGGTATAAATAAAACAGTAAGAGCAGCAACAAAAACTAACAAGCAATAACAACAAAATTAAAACCCAAACCTACACAGTGTTGAGTGAGTGAGACTAGAAAGGCAAAGACTTCAACAGTAACAGCAGAAGCTGGAGCGACAGTTTACAACAAGTAAGACGAGCCCCTGCCACACCACCAACAGACCGCACCGACACAACATAAGAGATAAATAAGTCTTACGATTTTACGATGCGCCAACAGTAGACATATATAACAAGCAGATATTTCAATACCGTCGTAATAGGGCACTTGAACATCAGCTGAATAATTTTCAAGAAACACTTAAGACACTTAAGTGCATCGACTGAATTCAGAACAAGCCATATGATATTTTTAGACTGTATGATGGAATCTCTCGACATAACCAAGCAGTTGCAATCATTCGCAATACTATTGGGGGACTTACGCGGACTGAACGCCAATTCGGCGATAGTTGAATACAATGAGCCAAGGAGACTTGCCTTTATTACAATATTACGACGAAATAGAAAAAAGCTCACGTTTTTAATTAATAAAATCATAATAACTCATTATATAACCGTCGCGGTCTTTAATGCAAACTTTAAAGGCGACGCATTAGATTCCTTTGTGTCTGGCCTCAAAAGATCTCTTAAGCAGTGTTTCCCATCCAACCACGCGATCAACCAAATGTCTTTGGCCCAAGAGGCAGAAGCAAGCAATAATCGCTTTACGTAAGCGGCAAATTATGACAGACATATGGAAAAGAAATCGCAAAGTATAAGAGCCAGCGCTTTCAAGAATGGTGTGTTATGGCTGCCTTGTAAAATAAGAGTTTTTTTTTGTGTACCGATGCTGAGACCAAGACAGCGTGATTTCTTTTTAATTTTAGCGGCACTACGAACCAGAAGTACACTTAAGAGCTCATCAAGTAATATTTTTCTAAGCTGAAAAGTTCTGTCGTCTAAAGACTCGTGGAGGAAATTTACCACCAACCGAAAACTGATCTACTGATCAATATAACAGCCGGCGAAGCTTGGGCCGTGTGGCCTTGGCCACGAGTGGAAGTTCACCTCGAGGGTCTGCCACCTCAAGTGTGGAATTCTTGTAGAACTTTCTCTTTCCATGGAATGGGAAAATGCAGAGGAATGCCTTTGGCCTAAGTAGCTTCGACGTCAAGGGTAGCCGCTACAATTTCACCTTTCCAGAAGTAACAAGCACGCATGTCCCCACTTTAAGCTACAATGCTCATATGTAGAATTTTGGTGACCACGTGAGCTTCTGCCTAACCTGCAACTTCGGAATGCTAATGAGAAAATAGACCTGCTAAGCCATCCACCTATATAAACAGCAGCACTGTCTATGTTATTAAATCAGCAAGCGAAAGCTTCTCGCATATTCAAGTTATTAATGGTGCAACGTGGACGGACCAGATGACACATTCAAAGGAAGAAGTGACGAGTTTAAATTTTAAATGGAGCGCCGACTTTGAACTAGGTAGGTTCAATAGGTAGGTTAAATATTAACTGATCATGTTTTTTAGTTACAATGATTTTTACAAGGAACGGTATATTTGCTTGAATGTAAGCTAATTTATATGTGCGAAAACTAAAGTTTAATTTATTTACAGATGGTGCTGATTTAAGCTAAAACATCACTGTCATAAATCATCGTTCACCGACATCATTTAAATTGCATACGTCTTCATGTGTTAAATGCTTTATTCGCACGTAAGTGGTATGGTATCCTCAATAAGGAAAAGCAAATTAAATAATGACATGATCAATAAAGCATGCTCTTCTAGCGTATGAAGTTTCAAAACTTTAAAAATTAGTTCCTTTGAAAACAAATATTGTTATATTTTATATTCTGCATAAGCATTGATATAATGATATATAACAAGATCATTAATTTTGCATTAAATGTATCCGTAATAAAATGAACTTCACTTTGATGGAAATCGTATTTGAAGCATGCAGATGTGGAAGTATAAATCTCCATATAACAACGTCCAAATCTCCATAAAACAACCCAACTCTGGTAATCGTCAAAAGGTGCTCGACAAGTTAGGATTTCGAAAGAAATGACTGGTAATATATTTCCGAAAATGAAACCAGCAGACAATTGATGATAAATATCCAATACCATCCATTATAAAATTGTTGTCAAACATGAAATTCACGACCTTAGACTTAAAGCCAGGGTTCCATCAGATAGAGCTGGCAGAGAAGGGACGAGAAAATACTTTTTGCTTTCCGGTAAATAAGGGTAAGCATAATTTCCGCAGGCTTCCTTTAGCGGGCAATTGACGATATCTTGCGGCAACAAATAGGAAATAGATGGAGTACTAATATTTTCAGCTAATGAAGAAGACCACATTAGAGACATCAACAATGTGTGACGCAGGTATGAGAGTGCCCCAAAAAAATGCAGGTTTAAAAAAAAAAAAGCGTGCAATACTTGAGATTCGCTAGGTGTTTTCTAGACCCCCTCTTCTTGGTTCAACCTTAGATAATTTTTGGGGCTAACAAGTTATAATAGATGTTTTACAAAGGGTTTCGCTCCGATCATGAAACTTCTGATAGACATTAAAAAAAGTCAATATCGAATTGACAACAGAACAGCTCCAAAATATATGCTAACGAGACTAATAATACACATGAGACAGGTACTTACATCCGACATATCAAAACGTTGTTGCCCACTTTAGGAGTTCATCACCGGCAATCCATAGTATAAAATACTGGGTACTGCATACAAGTGACAGAAGGAAATCCCGATTTTGATGATTGGAAGCAAATAAATAAATAACGAGAAAGAAAGGCTATATTCGGCTAGCCGAAGATCTAATACCCTTGCAGACCCAACCAGTTCATAATGCTAATAGTACTTTGCCCGTATCAAAGAAACAGAGGGAACACAGTTAATGCCGAGTTTCAGTCAATATATCATGATAAGCAAAAAAGGTTTTTAATCAAAACATAGTTTTCGTTCCTATGGCAGATATATGATAAGTGATCCGATCTTAATTGAATTTTGAACATATATGAGGAGTATAGTAAAACTAATAAATGTTTGATCAAGATATCTTGAAAAAAAAATTTTTTACGCACCAACTTAATTTTCGACCGATTGGCAGCTATATGAAATAGTGGTCCGATTCAGCTGGTTTTAACATACGTGCTGTGTGCAAGGGAAAGAGGGACCTTTGCATGGTTTCATAAAGATAGCTTTGAAACTTAGGGACTAGTTCGCATAGAAACAGACAGACGGACATGGCTATATAAACTCGGCTATTGATGCTGATTAGGAATATATATTCTTTAAGGGGGTGGAAATGTTTCCTTCTATGTGTTACACATTTCACGACAGAATTATGATACCCTCTGCAAGGGTATACAAAATAAACAAATAAGAGGTTCTTGTCGGGAGCGCCCGACTTGGGAATACCCTGATATTCCAACACCAAATAAATAATAAAAACAAGTTCCTTTGGCAGGGTTCGAACTCGCAACTGACCGCATTACTTGATGTCGACTCTACTCAAAATACACACCAGCAAAAAATAAATACTTTTTCAGGTAGGGCTCGAACTCGCGACAGACCACCATTTGCTATGCCTCTACTCACCAGCCACACCAATTATTAAGTACTTATGATAAAAAGGAACTAAAATAGCATTACAGAAAAAAGTCGCAATTACTGTTTGAGTGCGAAGCAGGCATGAATGTGTGTGTGTACATGTATACAGAAATCCCTAAACCTGATGCCCCATCCCATTGCGCAGCTGCATATAGCTTTGGTTTTTTCTTAACCGATCTCTATGAAATTTTCTTGCATTTTCTTGCAGGGCAAATGCGAGAACGGCGTGACAAAACTAGTACTCAGGACAAAGAAATTAATTTAAATGAACAGTAATTAATATAACAAATAAATTATTCTATGTCATTGCCGCGTGGCCATTACCTATAAATAATAGCGATCGCCTATAACAATAATTTACATTAACAATAATTGTAATAATTAAATTAATATAATATTATTTGAATTTAAAATAAATTATTCGAGTGCTATTTTTATACCCTGAACCCATTAAAAATGGGTATACGAGTATATTGTATTTGTGCAAAATCCAAATGTATGTAACAGGCAGAAGGAAGCATCTCCGAACCCATAAAATAGATATTCTTGATCAGAATCAATAGCCGAGTCGATCTAGCCATGTCCGTCTGTCTGTCCGTCCGTCCGTATGTATGAACGCAAGGATCTCAGAACCTATAAGAGCTAGAGACTAAAATTTTAGATATAGATGCTCCTAGTTCCCGCGCAGATCGAGTTTGTTTCCGATAATCGATAGTTTACTCCGTTTCCAAGCAATCGATAAAAATCGATATCGATATCCTGTTTTTTGGGCAATTTTGGTAAATAATAAGAGCTACAGTCACCAAGCTTGATATATAGCTTCTAAAATATAATATATATATGCATTTGATATTAGAAAAAGAGGGTTCAGGGTATCTCCTAGTCGGGAGCTCCCGACTAGAACGTCTTAATTGTTGTATTTTATTTTGTTGCGCTCTCGAGCGTTTTTACTAGCTTTCACAAATAGATATAATTAACCCTATTTTATTTCTCTTGTTCCACTTTGTTCCTATATTTGTACAAAGTTACGAAAAGCAGACAGAACCGAATTGGTGTGTGCTTATTATTTAAGAATAATAGTTTAACATAGGCAAGTAAACCCGAATTGGTACGTGCCAATTTAAGCGAAGCGACAATTGATTAGTTATAATTTTGAGTAATGCAAGTGCCCGATGTGTATAAAATGCACGAAGCGTACGAACTTAACTTACTCGACGCGCAGCATCGGAGCCTTCGCATGAGTAATGCTAGAGGAACAAAACGATCGTTACAGCGAAGACCGCAGCAGCTTTATGTAAATATAATCTTAAGAGCGATATTTAAGCAGTTGCTTCGCCGAGAGAGTATTATCTGGCTGCGTAGCCAGACATTTTTCTACAATACATAATTCTACAAAAAAAACATGAGGCCACCCAAAGTGGTGTCCAATCCGTTCCTCTGGTGACCTAACCCTAGCCTGCGCCACCACCGTATTGTGGTACTTCAGGTTCGGCAATATTAATAATTTTAAAATATTTTTTTTTTTCGTTATTTCGTTTTAATTTATATTTTCAAAACACCGAAAATTCGCCTTTTTATAATATAAATTTATTTGTATGCGTTCGGATTTCACTTGACTCTGCTCAGGATCTTTTTCTTTCTAATTCTTCTTGCTACCAACTACAAAAACCGCTCTCCCTTTTAAAAGTGATGGGCGTCACGCTGAGATTCTGGTAGCTTCAATAGTCACGCACCCCTCGAATCTATCGATATCCAAACACAGCGTATTGTTTTGTGGTGGCATTTATTTTTGGGCTTTATTGCGTCATATAACAATCAAGGCATGCTAACATCACTAGGAAGCCATCTTTTCGAAATTTCTAGCGCAGTCGTTTGAAATAAACAAGTATTTCACACTGTCTTGAGTCACCCGATTTATAAAATAATGGGGAACTGCTAAATCGCTGGTATAGCCTCTGTCCATTGGTTAAAGAAATGTCACATCTTCCAATTTCACATATTGGTGTTCCACCAGTTGCGGTAACATATCAGTGGCGAAAGTACCGCTTCATTAAATAAACAGCTGATCAAGTTTCTCTAATTTACATAAGTGCCGTAAGTATTTCGTCCAAAACTCAAAAATTGTGCTCTCGAAGTAAGGTCTCCATTTTAGACACTCTTTTTGAAATTGCGCCAAGTTTAAATTCTATAAACTATGGGGTTATTTTAATATTAAATTTCGTATTTAAAGTTGCCGCTTGCCTTCGTTGATAAATCAGCTGTTTGTGTTTATGATACTTTACCATTTCTCACAAAATCGATAAGTAGCTCGATTAATCATCGCAAAAAACCACAAAATGTTCGGGGCGAATTAACACATTTCTGAAAAACCACCCTGGTTTACTCCCAGATTGTCATCTTTAAAAATTTTAAATCTAAATTTTTTAAAAAGGTAGAGAAGTCTGGCTCGTTTACAGACTTGACTAAATATTCCATAGCAAAGTCGAACTTCTTTCTTCTGAATTCTCAGTTCTTTTATAATTATCTAATTCTTTTCAAAAGACAATTTGCCCACAATCCGAGACGGTTTGAAAATTTTGTGAGCTTGAAGCGTCAATCTTCAAGTTTGCCATCTTCTCTTTCTCTTGGAATGGATAGAGCTAGCAATGGCACTAATTCTGCTAACCTTTTTGCTAATTTTTTCCAATCAACTTACTCTTCAGTCTGTCCTGATACTAATTGTTACCCTTTTACTATTTCTTCCGCTATTTTTATACCTCCTTCTATTATTTCACACTCCTCTCTCCTTTTAGCTATAAACTCTTTAAAATCTTCTTACTCTCCTGGGCCGGACAATATTCCTAGTTGTCTACTCAAGGAGTGTAGTTCTTCCCTTCTTTATCCATTGCTAAAGCTTTTTAATCTATCCCTTGAATCATCTGTCTTTACATCTCTTTGGAAAGAATCCTATATCATTCCTCTCCACAAGAAAAGTGGAAAGTCTGATATACAAAATTGCAGGGGCATTACAAAACTGTCCGCTGTTCCTAAATTAAATCTTATCACTGACCTTAGTAAAATCATTGCATTCAGGATAAGCAGGTACATAGCTTGCCGGACAGGTCATTATATTTCCCTCACCGGGTCGGTGATTTCCCCTTACTAGGCTCTAATTGCTTCGATATCACACGAAATCCCTTTTTCTATTGG